AGCATTTCGTCTCGAAAAAATACCAGACAGCTCCAGTTCTGTGCCAATCCAATTCAACCAAGTCACGTTATTCTTGCTCCATCATTACTAATGCATTGACAGTCACTTCTAAACGACGTTTTTTGAGTTGAGGCTATCTTTAAATGCAGTTAAATAGAAAACAGGAAAATGGCAACTTGTAATCGGTTCGAAAGAGTAGATAGTAAAGATTTTTAATGTGATTGCTTGTAATGCGTTTTTAACACCTACTACCAACACGGCAGGATCCTAATCCATATCATCAACATGACCAACTGAGCACTCTCAGCCTAGAGGGTAAATGACAATCTCATCTACCTTGAATACGCATCGATTTGCATGTCCTCACCACATGCCTCGAATAAAATATACTTCCCTTTGCATCTATAAGCCTAACTTTTACAAATGAAAGCCGTCTTTAAGATTTACTGCACGAATACATGGATCGCTACTGAGCTAAAAATTTCCCTAAGTTCAATTGTATTCTTTAATTCTTTGTGCCGCTTCGATCCCATATGTGTTGCAAAATTGTAGTTTGTTGGTAGGTATCATTTTGTTGAATGCGGTACGTTTTGATATACTGATTAAATGCTTTATTCATGATTTCAAGCCGTATCAAGCCATTAACAACTGCCACTAGTGGAAATCAACCAGATGCAAGGCTACAGATTAAACAAAACAGACAGTATCCATTCGGATTTAATCCTGATTTGGCCGTCGTCAGATCAATTATGAGATGTCAATCAGACAAACTGCCTAGTGCGCTTACCGGTGTACTTCCTTGCAGTGACGTGTTCTAACCTGCCTAGACTCATAAAATACATTCTTTTAGTTATGCGTCCACATAATTTAAAAGACATACGTACGTAAGTCCCTTTGCATGCTAAATCTTGCAATTCCCCGATTGTTCTCCTTTTCTGCTAGACTCTTTGTTAAAAACCGTCAATCAAACGAATCTAGTATGACTCCGACATACTCATTTATGGGATGGGTAAAAATTGGAGAAATTATAGCAGGTCGAAGTTCTCGGATTCTTCGCCAGGCGGAATATGTTCGGAATTGTCTATTGACCAACTTGAGATTGGCACAAATGGATATGCTGTGAATTAATTCCACTCAAGTTTCGAATGCACCAACTTCGTCATCTTCTTATTGGAACGGCCAATTACAGCTAGATCCACTTACTCGGTTCATCTCAGAATTTTCCTTTAGTCGTCTCCAACTTCAGAATGATTCAGTCCATTAACTACTACACCTAATTCTGCTTAAAACATCCAAGGTAAGGCGAGCTCTAAAGTGAAAACTTTGTTTTCTCAGGCCCTGTTAATTGTTAGGAATGCAATGGCGCCAGGTAATCCACCAATGGAAATTCTCGATCAGGCAACGCCCGGTGCTTCGTCAGTCATTGCTCAGCGAATCACAACTCAGATTGCCTTTGTCGCTCACTGAAAATGCTTTGCGTCAGAGCTTCTCAGACAATCAGGCTGAGCATGCATTAATACCTAATATAGTGAGGTAACAAATATGAATTCTCATAAATTGTCCCTTTATTTCCAGACGTCTGCCCTCGTAAATTGCAAAATCCTAGGGCTGTCTAATCATTTTAGACCAAAGCAGGAGTGCAACCGTCTTTAAAGTTTACTTATGACTGGGCGATGACAACGTCTCTACATAGGGGTCTACTGTCGGGAGCTACAGCAATTTTTGCCTGGGCAACAAATGTTTACGACTGCGGATTTCTTAACGACTTCTTCATGGTGACGCCAAATTCGACAATCGCGCGTCGAGATGCTGGCATCCGCCAGATTCTTACAGAGGTCGTTCAGCAAAACCTTTTCGAAGGAGGTCGGCATAACTTTGAGGTCTACCGGTGGCTCCCTCCTCACCTTCAGGATGGCAATGCAGCTTCTCAACAAGTAGCAATTCTAACTGGCATCACAATCCTCTCAGCCCTACTCCTCCTTCTCTTTCCTCTTGCCCTAGTAATTGTGAGTTGCAATTGCACGTTATGTCGTAGAGCAAACAATGGTGATGGAAAACTGACGAGTCAGCTGGCTGCTAGGGAAACAGTGAGTTTCATTTTAGTTGCGGCTTTCCAACAAATGCCATATTCCATTACTATCTATACGTGTCGAATGAAATTCTCCTCCTATTAACAGTTAGTAAGGGACGAACATTTTGAAAGGATGCACCTATTTTCTAAACCGCCAATCAGTTTACTGTTATGACTTAAAATAAGTTTTTCATCAACCATCAACAGTCGCCAGACTAAAATGCGAAAACATTATATCTTTTAAATGAGACCTTAGTGGCAACTTAAAAATGACTTTGATTTAAGGACTTAAGGGATCTTTTGTGCAGTTGATATTAAGAAGACGAATGTGCGAATCGAGGTGAAACTTTAGCAAAGCTATAGAACAAAGGAGACTATCATTAGCACTTAAAGAGCGAACATTATATAGTGCCCACTTCAAAGTTGACACCGTGCGGTACTGCAACTAGCTTACAATTGCTGCGAGTGCAGAAAAGGGATTCCTTGGCTGACGTGAGAGAATATTCTAGTCACTATACACGACGCACGGAAATTGCATTTA